ATTACACCTTCTTTGATTTTCTTTGTGGATGTCCATGCTAGTAATTATATAGAATACATAGCTTATTCAGGTCAGCTAAATTTTAAAATATGAGAGTCATAATGTTAGGCTCTGAAAGCATGGACATGGCAGTTTTTTTTAAAAATACGTGTTGTTCCGACACGCGTTGATACGCGGTTAATATTTTAGGATATGTTGACTATTTCGACACGCGAATTTGATCGAATCCGACACGATCAAAGGGCAAAAATGTAAATTTCTTGAAATTTTTATAAAATTAAAAATAACTCTAAAATAAAAAAAGAACGGACAGACACAAACACAGCTCCATCGCCATAGCCGTCTGCTTCAACCTTCTTCCTCGCATTGTTCTTCTTCGTTCTTATGGAGGAGGGTGGTGATTTTTTGTTTGCTTCTAAACCCATTAACTCAAGGTATATGGTGGCTAGAGTCCATTTTAGTGTGATTGAGAACGGTGGGTATGAAGAGAGAGAAGTTGTTCAACAAAGAAATGACACTGAGAGAATAACTCAGTAAAATGGAAGACAAAAGTAGAGATTAAAGGCCTGTTTGATTGTATTCTGATTTTTTTTTTTTTTAAATTGTTTTGTAAAATAGTTATAGAAACAATTGTTTTCTATATTTATTTAATTTTGAAAGTTAAAAACCAAAACAAAAACAAAAACAACTCAGACATGTTCTCTGAATTTGATTCTAAAAAAAAAGCAGTTATAATTTTCAAAACAATTTTTTACAAAAAAAAGGCCTTACCAAACAAGTTTTTTAATTTTTTTGTCTGAAAACTAAAAAACTGTTTTTAAAAACAACAATCAAAGAGAACATTTCTTTTTTGTTTTGGATACACAAAAGGAGAGATTTGAACTGGGGCTATACGTGTAGTGTAGTCAGAGAAACAAAAATATAAATATAAACCTAATATATATATATATATATATATATATATATATATATATATATTAAAATGGAGGTAAAGTGCCACCCACGAGAGAGATGGTCCCATCTTTATGTTTTTATATTTTCTTTTATATTTGATGAGTGTATTAAATATAAATTATATTACATATGTTAAAATTATTATTTAATATCAAAACGTGTTCTAATGTGTCGAAATTTAATATTTTTTGAAATTAACGTGTCGACATGACGTATCGTGTCCCGTGTCAGTGTCGGTGCATTATAGATGTTAGGGCTTAAATAAATAATCTTTAACTTTATTTATATATTTTTATTTTTAGAGATAAAATAAATATTTTTAAAATTTATTAATAATCTACACTATTAAGTTTAATTTAATACAATTATTTTTATACAGACGTATAAAAATATAATACAATTAAATTTCTATCTATTCATGTGCACAAATAGATTCTTGAATTTAATCCCAATTTTAGATGAGTTTTTGAAATAATATTTTCTAATTTTTTAATTACATAAATCTAACAGCTACTCCATTATTTTTTAATAACTTTTTTTTTTAATAACTTTTAGTTGCTTATTGTTACGACGTGTTCTCCGGACAAGTTGTGACAGACACCTTTTCCCTTTTTTGTTGGTGTTTAGACGAAGTTTCATTTTTTTAATATTTTAAACACTTGTCTTTTTTTATTCTATTTATTATTAGAGAAAAAATTTCAGTCATCAAATTTCTTAAACTTATTTAATATATTTTTTACTTATTTTTAATTAATAAATGTAATTATGAATGACCTGGTTAATATCAAAGTTTTGAAACACATATATCTTTTTTTAGATTTTAAGATTAAAATTAGGGAATAACATCTGTCATTTTAAAGGATATAAGCTTATATCATTTTAGATCTTAATCGTTAATTTTCGTCCATCAACGGTTATAATTTATTGGATCGAAATTATTAATTAATTAATAATAAATTTGACCCATTAAGTTTTACCCAATAAATTATAACCGTTGATGGACGGAAATCAACGGTTAAGATCTAAAAAGATATAAGCTTATATCCTTTAAAAGGATAGATGTTTTTTCCTTAAAATTATATTTATTAAAATAAGATTTTTTTTTTATAAAAAAAACTTGAGATTTTTTTTTCGGTAGACAAAAAAACTTGGGCTTTTTAATTACTCTTTTTAAGTAATGGATAATTAAATAAAATATTATAAAAATTAAACTGACAAATCCATGTAATTAAATATAAAAATATACTTAAAAAAACAGAAGGTCATATATATACAATACCAATTTATTCAATTAAATCACAATTTTAGACACAATATATAAAAAATAGTATGAAATAATTTAATTAAATTTAAATTTTACAGAACAATGCAATGATATAAATGGAAGAAAAACAATTAAATGACTCAAGTAACTTTTAAAACGACTTAAACACCCTCAATATTTAACAATAACTAGTGGAAAGATGAGGTGTTTGTCACTCCATACAAAATATGCAATATATAAAGCACGCGAAGGATCATATGATTATATGTGATCATCTAAACATGATAATTAATTTACTATAAGATTATATTTATTATTATTTTAGATTTATCATTTTTACTATTTGATTGATTATTATTGAATTAATTTAAAATCAATGATAATTAATTTTTCTTATTTTTTAACACTTAATTTCAGATTAATTTAGCAATAATTAATCAAATAATAAAAATTATAAAACAAAATAATAATAAGTATAATTACCGCTTATTCCTCGTGGACTACTACTTTAAAGATGTAGTTTTTTCTTATTCAAATAGAAGCTACAACCGGGTGTCATTATTAATCAGTGCCGGCATTAATTAATTAAAAATGCATGACTTGTGCCGTTGCAGGAATTGATCAATGGAAAAAGTGTTTATATAATTTATTTTTATAAAAAGACGAGATTCACACAATTTTTTTTTTTTACCACATTATGTCTTCTGTAATTTTTTTTTTTCACATAAAATGATGTAATTTTATATTTTTTTAAATGACACATAATTTCTATTTTTTCTTAATTAATACGGTCTAGTCTAAAGATTCCAAGTCTCACATTACAGTGCATAGTTGGTCTAAGCAATTATGATTATTCCATTAACCGGCCAGTGGCTACTAGGGGTGTAAATGGGCCAGGCTGACCCAGCCCAGCCTACGGCCCGGCCTACATTGAGCTCAGCTCAGGTCTAGCCTTTCAGAAAAGTAGAGTAGGCTTAGGCTTATAAAATAGCTTTTTTAATAAATAGGCCATAGGCCAATTTTGTCAAGCCCGACCTACAGCCTTGTAGGCTGGCCTATTTAATTTATTAAAATAAAATAATAAAATAATATTTATTTTATGTGGCAAAGACACAAAGTGCCAAATACCAATATCTCTTACTTTTTGTGCTATTTTATTTTATGAAAGGAAAACTTGTCTAATGTCTCCAAATTTTACATGCTGTTGCAACTTAATACCATGGAACAATGAGTACCTTGCTGGATTATGATGTTACTGATGAAGATCTTTCAATAATACTCTTCTTTCCCTTGTCTTGATGGTGGTTTAAAGATTTTTAGATGAATGACATTCTCTTGTAGACTTTATTTCAGCATCTAGTAATTGTATTTTTCTTATTTTTCCCATTTCTTTGACTCTATTCCTCTATGATATACATTCTAGAGCTGAGGTATTATGTTGACTCTTTCTTGTTTGTCATTTTTTTCTTATGAGAAGTACTAGTGCATGCATGAATGGAACTTTCTTTGCTCTATACAATTATTTTTTTTGCTTACTATATATAGTGGGAGGCCTACAAGGCCTGTAGGCCATGTCAGGCTTTCTTATTTTTAAAAATGGGCCGGGCTTGGCCTACAAATAAAGCCTTTAATAGGCCAGTAGGCCAGATAGGCTAAATTTTTTTTGACGTAGGCTTGGGCCAGGATGGCCAAAGCCCAGCCCAGCCCAGCCCATTTACACCCCTAGTGGCTACCCATCTAGCTGTATATTCATGGGACATCGGTCAACCCGCGTTTTATTGCATAAACGAATACAAAGTTTTTACTTTTTAATTAGACAATATTATTACGTAGATAATTCATTTCTATATTTACATGTTTTTTTTAGCCTGTTCCTCGTCATCGCATCACATCAACAACTAAAGATTGATGGTGGAGATTAATGAAGTTATCAGAATTGTTGGAGAAACAAGTTGTTGCAGAGACCAACAAATGTAGATCTTGTCACCGGAATAAGGGGTCATCAATGAGTACAATGAACGAAGTCAAAAATTGATTATTAAAAAGGTTTTTCCACAAAACTTCTGTCTTACAAAATCAAAGTTGATGATTAAAAAATATATATACAAGGAAAAACCAGAACAATCTGTGTATAAAATACGAAAGATGTGTATGATTACTTAAATATAGAAGGATGTCGTGGTGTAAGAAATATGCTTCAAGTAAAAGATATTAGTGTTTTTTTAAAAAAGAAAATTATTAATTTCAAGGATCCGTTTGCATGGATTTTTTTTTTTTCTTAAAAGCTTTTTTTGTTTTATGTGTGTGCTTGAATTTTACTTTAAAAATAAATAAATAAAAAAGTCAAAAAATATTTTTTTAAACCAAGATTCTGATTTTTGAAAAAGTTTAAATATTATTTTTTACTTAAAAAATATTTTTTAGATATTAATTTAAATGCAAAAGAGCTCTGACTCTTAAAAAATTCCTTGATAAAACAATGTATAAAAATTATTTTTTTATTAATACAATATTACTCATTTTTAAAAAAAATAAATTTAAAATAAAAACGTTTGAGTTATCGCAGAACAAGAAATAAAAGTAAAAAAGTAACAATATTACTGTTAATATGAAGTCACGTAGATTTGTAGAAAATGTCTATAAAATAAAAGAAACCAATAACGAACTGTAATAATTTAAACGTATTTATAAAATGAGCTTTCCTTCAACCAAAAAAAGAAAAAAGAAAATGAGCTTTCCTCCAATTGAAATTAACTCGGACAGGAAAGTCAAAGCATGGTGTGGTAGCAATATAACGGAATGGACAAAACAACTTCTTGATAAAGCAGCAAGTGAGGAACCGGATTGTACGGCATAGAAGTGAATCGGAGGAATTTGAAGTGGAGACTGGAGATGGCGAAGGTCGTTGACGTTGAGCGTTATAGTGAAGACAATAAGAAACAGGCGCAAGAATTAGAAGATGAAGAAAGCTTCTCGTATGCTGTGCAGCTTGGCAACTCTGTTGTGCTTCCCATGGCACTCAAATCCGCAACTGATCTGGGCGTATTTGATGTATTGCAGAAAGCTGGTAGCGGTGCTAACCTCTCTGCAAAGGAGATTGCATCCCAGCTTTCATGCGAGAACCCTCAAGCACCAACGATGTTAGATCGTCTCCTTGCTCTTCTAGCCTCTCACTCTATACTTAAATGTTCGGTCCTTCCTGTTCCTGATGAGAAAAACCTTGGATCCTTTCAAAGACTATATAGCATGGCTCCTGTCGCCAAATTCTTCGCCCCCGATTCTGATGGTTTTTCATTAGGGCCCTTGTTGGCCTTGTTACAAGATAAGATCTTCTTAGAAAGCTGGTCAGTTTTTTTTTTTTTTTTTTTCCAATTATTATAAACTATGAATTCTTTTTTCTGTCAGTATGCTTTCCCATAAACTTGATCTGTTTCTTTTTAAGAAAGAAAAAAAAAAAAAATGCATCCGTCTTTAACTTAAAACAGGACTGGATGAAGGGGATTATAGTAGGCTAGAGCGATCTACTGATTCTGATTTTTCCCCCTTATTTTGGGTATGAAGTTTGAACATGCATAGACTCACCCTAACATGTGCTGAAATTTAACTTGGATTACTCTAGACCACATTGTACATGCTCTGAACTACATAGAAAAATTAAGCTATTTGGTAAAAGCATCTTAATGATTTTATGCCTAACAGGGTCTGAGTGTGAGGAATTTGTTTGTGTGAATGAATATCATTACTCAGTGAAGCTTGACTATGTATTTAGAGACATTACACAGTTTCATACATTGTCAATTTTCATTTCCCCCCTCTGACTAATCCTAGTGAGAAAGGGTTCAAATAATTGTAGACTATTAGTGTTTCAAATTCTGGTAATTGCTTATGAAAAATTTAAGTCTGTAAACTGCTCCGTTATTGCAGCAAATAAAGATTCAGGAGACTCATTTTGTGAGACTTTCAATCCGAGTTTCTTCATTTACTGACGTAAAATAACTCTGCATTCATTCTTAGGTCCCAGCTGAAAGATGCGATTCGGGAAGGGGGCATTCCATTCAACAGGGTTCATGGTACACATGCCTTTGAGTATCCAGGCTTGGACTCAAGGTTCAATGATGTTTTTAATTCAGCAATGATCAATCACACCACTCTAGTTATGAAGAAGGTTCTGGAATGCTACAAAGGTTTTGATGACATAAAAAGGCTTGTGGATGTTGGTGGTGGTCTTGGAATTAACATTAACATGATCACTTCCAAATACCCTCATATCCAGGGTGTCAATTTCGACTTGCCTCATGTCATAGAACTCGCCCCTTCCTATCCTGGTATGACCTTTGCAGGTTCTAATCCTTGGGTAAAGATTAAAAGATTTTTTTTAAAAAAAACGTCTCTACTTTCTTTGTTAATAATATACTATCAGCTGTGCCTTATTAAGTATGTTGAATCTCAAAATTGAAACTACCTAATGTTGCAGGAGTGGAACACGTTGGCGGAGATATGTTTGCAAGTGTGCCTAAGGGAGATGCCATCTTTATGAAGGTGAGTGTATGATGGTGCCTTGGTTATAGGGGAACAAACTCTCTAAATCGCCTAGTGAAAATTAATGGCAATGACCTTCTAAGGAATAATATTGAGTTTAAAGGGAATAAAAATTAAAATTATTAAAAATGACCATTGTAATTTTGATCAGAGTTAAGAACTATATAAAAAAGGCCGACCCAGTTCAAGACTCACTCCGTGAGTGTCTGGGGAAGGGAAATTTGAGTCAAGCCTCACCTCAGCAAGAGTTAAGAACAGCTTTCATAACCATTGCAGGGGAGCCGAGTCGAACTCCTGACCTGGAACACCGCGGTAAGCAAGCTTACCGCTGAGCCAAGCCGGCCCTTCAGTTAAGAACTATATAATTTCACTTAATAGTTAAAATTATCTTTATCGTTAATGGTTATTATAATTAGTGTTCTCTGATTGGTCAATAATAGTCAAGTAAAATGCTATAACTCGTTTTTTAGTGGTTAATAGAAACTGTAATTGTGTATTAACGTGCAATATTTCCACAATTCCACAATCAATGCCATCAACAGACGATTGTTACAAGCTTCCTAACCACAAAAGAGATATGAACGGGGCACCCACCTCACTTTTTCCCCGAATTAGTGAAGTGTTTGGAAATGGCAGTATTGCACCCGCATCGATCTTTTACACTTTCTAAAAATTGAAACTTGCATCAAGAGTTAAAATTATGCCTTTTGGGCAAGTTTTTATTCAGGGAATGAATGACGGGTTATGTATGGTTACTAAATTTTGCAGTGGATACTTCATGATTGGAGTGATGAGCACTGCTTGAAGCTGTTGAAGAATTGCTATGATGCAATTCCTGATGATGGAAAGGTGATAGTAGTGGAGGCAGTTCTTCCTATTATACCTGAGACTAATGCTGCTTGGAAGTCGGTGTCCCAAACGGATGTTCTAATGATGACACAAAACCCTGGAGGGAAAGAGCGAAGTGAGCAAGAATACATGGAATTGGCAACTGCAGCTGGATTTAGTGGCATTAGATATGAATGCTATGTCCGCACCTTTTGGGTTATGGAGTTCTTCAAGTAAATACCATGTGCTACTGCTGCCTTGTGGAATTGTAGCTTTTTCCTACTTCTGGTTTCCTATTACAAAACAAGCTCAAATGTGTACTACATTCAGTATTTCAATTTATAATAATCCCCCCCACGGTGTGCATGGTGATAAAAGTGATATGAAACAGTATTTCTTTTATTGGGTTTGCATATACAATTATCACATGAAAAATCACGAAATATTATTTAACAAAATAACCTTATGCCCTGTATCATCCAAATTTGAAACTTGAAACCATGCATTTAAAAATTATGAGCTTGTATAGGAGCAACGCACCAAACAAGAGAGTTGTTTATTAAGCTCTTGGAATTAGAGTTGGCTACATTACAAATAGCCATGTCCATAACAATAATTAAGAGTTGGCTGGAAATTCTAAAATATTCTTCATGATCATGCTCATATACAACAAAAGGAATTAGATCAAGTGCGGAAAAATTAAGATCATAAATACCTCCCACCATTGCTATTCTTGATTGCTTCGAAGATGAGTTGTAGTTGTCCGTGAGTCAAGTACTATGTTAGTGTCCGTGAGCACTTTGTGAGTCTTCCAAGCTTTAGCTCTTCAGACACAAATGGTGTACAATATAAATCCAAGAGTGAGCTCAGGGACTCAAAGTCTGAAGTCACACCATATATAAACCCTAACCATCAAGGTGTTTGTTATTAGTGTTGTGCACAAAATAAGGCTGTTAGGATTTTTTGATTGTTAGTGGAAGACTGTTACTGAAAAGATGTGGAGCATATCTTTGACTTTATCCTCAGTTTGTTAGGAGAATAAAGGCACACTAATATTCTCTCACTTGGTCCACATATCCAATCATAAACTATAGTAAGAAATAAAATACATGAATTATGGCGATAGTTCCTCTATATGTACGAGTAGTATCTTCCATGTATTACATTGTGTTATACTTCTCAAGCCCATACAACTTAATGAATAAACCCAATGTTTATTCTAAGTTCAAACTTAATTGATGCTTCTCAAAACGATTGTAGATGCGCATAAATTGAATGAAAAATATCACAAATAGATTTTCATAATATCATTCTTATAATGAAAATCACATGTGGGAACCAAGTCTCATCCTTTCCACATGATCTTTAAATTTGAATGATGGCATGGCCTTAGTTAAAGGATCAACTATCATTAATTCAGCGCTGATGTGCTCAATAACCACTGTATTATCTTTAACACGTTCTCTTATGGCTAGATACTAAATGTCGATGTGCTTGCTTCGACTACCACTTTTGTTATTCTTAGCCATAAAAACAGCAGCTGAATTATCACAATATATCCTTAATGTCCTAGATATAGAATCCATAACTCTAAGCTCAGAAATAAAACTCCTTATCCATACACCATGTGAGGTAGCCTCAAAACAAGAAACGAACTCATCCTCCATAGTGGAAGTAGCTGCCAAGGTCTGCTTGACACTCCTCCAAGACACAGCTCCACTGGCTATCATAAAAATATATCCTGAAGTTGATTTTCTCGAGTCAACGCAGCCAGCGTAGTCTGAATCTGAGTAGCCGACACTACAAGAAATCAGGTATATAAAGGCAGTTATTTTAGGAAATTGATGTAAGAAATTTTTATAATAATTGTGGGTTCAATCAATTGTAGTTTTTTCTTGTTTTGATAAAAACGGGCTAAGTCATTATCCATATGGGGGTGCAGTATAAAGCCCATTTAATTGAGTGATCCTTTTGTTTGGGCTTGGATATCTGTAAACTGATTAGTGTGGGTTATAGTGTAGGCCTAACCTATAGGCCCATGATGGGAAGAGGACTAGGGTTAATAACTTGGCTAGGTCCCCTCTGCATTCACAACGTGTTAGAAAACCGTTACTCCACAACTCGCCCCATCGACGGTTGTAATCAGGGAGTGGTGTGAAATGCAGAGGAAGATCCTAGTCTTTCCATTGCAGGAGCGTTAGAGGAAACAAGAAGCTTCAAGAAATCAAGAATCAAGTAAGCCTGAATCTTTTGGTGTTCTAATATCATATAATCCTATTTTGAAATTTTCTTACATTTGGTATCAGAGCCTATATTATATGATTTAGGACTCAATTGTTGGTTGATTAGACATGATTATATATTTTGGGATTGAATTCATTTTCCTCTTGTGTTCTTGAATCTATAAGTTTTTTTTCCCCTTAAATTTGTTGGGTTTGCTCTTTTACTAAAGCCCAAATGGGTTATTAGTATGAGAAGAGCCCAAGGAACCTAGAGCCCAATGAGCTAGGGTTTCTTGGAACCCATATAAATAGTACCTCTTAAGTCATCAGCCTCCTAGGTCTTTTTGTGAGAAAGAGGCAAGCTCAGAATCTAATCAGTTCCCACACACTTCCCCTTCCTCCTCGAGAGATAGTTTGGAAGATCTGTCACAGTCCAGCTTCAAGGAGGTTGTTCGTGCTGCGGCACTGAGGTGAGCTGTTCGTGAAGAGGAATCCTACAAGGGAAGATTCTACACGAGACCTGCTCACCGAGAGGTAATTGTGAAACAAGGATGATTCGGTAAGCATACCAATGTACTAGGTCCTAAACCGCTTCCGCATAAATCTAAGATTTCCTACAAAATTAAACCCAAATCACAGGGTATTAATTTCAATTTATTTTATCATGATTTTGACGACGGAAATTTAAAATTAAAAGTTACGATTAGAATTTCAAATCCAATACCAAATTTTCCTGATTACTGTATGTGCTGATTTGATGTTTATATGTTACAATTGAAATATTAAATTGTAATAATGAATAAACAAATATGTGTCGTGAGTCTTTCCAAAGCAAATATAATTGAATCTTGAGGAAACGTGATGTATGGAAAATATATGAATTTATTTCATAATCTTTTATCCTTTTTTATTTTCAATTTGAGTCCCTTAATTTTCTTGAATGATAAGTTCTCTGTAATTTGATTGTGAATTTCTCGATTATCGAGGAAGAGAACTCGTTTGTGTTTTAGGTTTTAATGCAACCATGTTAGTGTTTTGGAAATGCTCAATTCAAATAGTTATTTATCTTGTCAGTAGTTATTTATGATTTGTAAATCTTTCAACCTCTGATTTGATTTGTAAATCATTTTATTCCAAATGACTTCCTTTTGATTCTAAAGTTTTCGTGTTCAAAACTTTGCATACATTGGAAAGTTGTGTACTTTCGTAAGAATTTTGTGGCATCAATATAAAAAAAATAAAATAAAAATTAATTAACTAATTAACAGAATTATTTGTTAAATTAATAAAATTATTGGGACGACATATAAGAGACGATTGGTCCAAAAATGAATCTTGCCTATAATGCATAGAGAGTATGACTGCTACTGCAAGCTTACAATTTGTTAAATAATGCATTTGTTATGATTTTATTATTATTGTTATTATTTGGTTTGGAGACCCATTTGGATCTTTTAAGTGAAGCCCATCTGTAGGCTATTTGTGGAACCAATATTGATCTAATCTTTATCAAATTTTACTTGTGTGGTGATATAATTAAATGTGATTTTATGGTATATTTTTTTTAAAAAAAATATTGGAAAATTGATTCATTATATTTGTGATCAAATGATGATGCGAATTGGATGTGGTTATGATGTAGTGCTAATTGCTCCGAGCTTCTAATGCTTGCTATGATATTTTTATTTTATTAATGTCCATGCTTCCGCTTAAACTATTTAAATGCAAAACTTATTTGAGAATCCTATTATTTTAAATTCATGATCAGTAAAGATGTTGCACATTCTTGTGGATTGGATCATGGTTTTGGGGATGTGAATGTTATTATGTTTAAACATATTCCTGTACAACAATTTTTATGAATTACTATAGGGATTACAACCAAAGTGGGATTGCTTATATTGATTTATGAACATTTCTTTGTAAAAATTAAGGAATGATTTTGGTTATTTCATGCAATTTCCTGTCCAAAAGGGATAATTGTGTGTTATAATTGTAAATTTGTTTGGGATGATGTTAATGGAGGTGCATTGGTCTAGGTGATCTGTCTGCCCAAAGGGGACACATCTCTGAAGCCAGTGTATGCTCATTGAGAAACTTTTTCTTGAGGTTATAGATGAAGTTATTGGAGGCTCATTGGTCTAGGAATCTATCTGCCCAAAGGGGATAGATTTTCAAACTCAGTGTTGTGCTCATTGATTAACTCATCTGAGGTTCTGACCTTGGTTGGTGCATTTTGCCCAAAGGGGAATGTATTATTATGTTGGCCTTGTTATGACAACCTGTTGTACTAAATGATTAACTCATCCAGAGCAACTTTTTCTTGAGGTTATAGATGAAGTTATTGGAGGCTCATTGGTCTAGGAATCTATCTGCCCAAAGGGGATAGATTTTCAAACCCAGTGTTGTGCTCATTGATTAACTCATCTGAGGTTCTGGCCTTAGTTTAACCTTGGTTAGTGCATTCTGCCCAAAAGAGAATATACTATTATGTTGGCCTCATTATAATATTTTGATTAAATTGAATGTGTATATTATCCTTTAGTTAATTCTAATGCATACCTGTTTTGCCTTAATAGTGAATTTATATGTTACCTGTTTGATTCATTTTGAAATAAATATTTTGGAATATTTATTTTAAAATTTTTATATACATATATATTTATTTGGAATTATTTGCTCTCATTCATACTTAATTTTATGAGCTCTTATTCATGTTTGATTCTGTAAAAAAAATTTATGATTTTTTTTTAATTTTGATTAATGAAAATTATTATAGATTATGGTGATTATAATGTTAATATTTACTCTCCCAATTTTAGCGTAGATTTTATGTACTTTGTCAACTAAGTTTGATTAGTAAGCTAAGATATATAATTGTTGATATTGGGAATTGAAATTTGTGATAGAAATTACACTTTAGTAAATACAATATGAATTTGGAAAATATATGCTATAAGATTATTTAGGTATAATTGTTGAGAATGTTATTTGTGAATCATCAGAATTCTTTGTTAAATATAAATTATTGTTTGCAATTATCTGCCCAAAGGAAGTCATTGTATACATTAATTTTGAAATTTGTATTGAGTTAAATTTCAAATAATATGAGGTAATTGTATATTATATACTCTGCTAAAGGAATGTTTATTATACGTTAATTATTTTGTTAA